CGGCCCGCGCGCCCCCTCCCCTCGGCTGACGCAATAAACCCTATTTTTAATTAAAATTTAAATGAAGAAATTCGCAAATATTCACTTAAAGAGCATATAAACTTCAAATGGCCATAACTTGGTCGTTTGAACTTGGAATTGGACCGTTCAAGTCTCTAATTTTTCCTTAAGAAGTCAAGAACCCATTTTTGTGCTTTGTTCCTGCTTTTTATATGGAGTTTATTAGAGTAAAAGCCTTTTTCTTCCCGTTGGTCGTGTAGACGCTGCAGCTTCGGAAGATCCGCTCTACGTGGAGGTTGAAGCCGACATTTGGGAAAGCGAGCAAGGCAAGTCACATCATCCTTGAACATATTGAATCCCAGTTTATAAAATTATTTTGGTTTAAATTAATGCATTATCGCTTTATTTAAATTCCCGCGTTATCACTATTTTATTTGGCCATGCCTTTTTACCTTTGTTATGACCTTATTTTTATTGCTATTGTTATTATTACCTTGTTCACCCTAGGAAAATAAAACCCCAACTAGTGGGTACTCTATTTATGATTCCACTAGTATGAATTTAGGTAGATGCTTCGCTGATTAATTAGGCAACATTAGGTGGTTTTATAACCTTAGACTTTGGGAATACTCATATCATTTGGACATTATGGAATGGTTGGACTATGTGGAAATGGACACACACCTCCCCCTCTATTCAAAACCCTCAAAATGGTTTTAGGCTGGGCTCGAGGTGCATGGTTTTGATAGTAGCACCTCGGCCACCATAAGGACCGGTCTTCGGGCCTCTGTTGCAAAGAACTACCGTACTTCCACATGTCTAGTGGGTAAGGCTTAGTTTGTGGCTCAGTCTGGTCATAAACAAAGGTACACGGATGGAGATGGACGAAGTCAGGGCCCGATGGACATCTCTAGGGCAAATGAAGGCTACACGAGCTGCGGCCCGGTAGTCGAGATGTCATGGCACAAGGCCGGTGCCCTGCTGCTAGGGGCTCAACCTTGGTTACCTGTCTCGGGAATCCCGGCCGTAGTCAGGGTTGGGTCGGTACTCTATTTTATGGCTAGGATGGGTTGGGAACTATGTCACGTCTTTCGCCCGTATGCCGTGGTGGTATGTGGCACGTGGTTACACGTGAGAAAGATGTGTCTTGTGGGTAAAGCTGTACACCTCTGATCAGAGTATAATCTATTCGAATAGCTGTGCCCTCGGTTATGGGCAAGCCTAGCAATGTACCCAAGTTAGTGGTTTAATTCTTAAAACTTGCTTAACAACTAAAATGTGGAATGGTTGGCCTGGGTTGGCTTGGGACGAGCTGGGACCCAGGTCGGGTTGCTAGTTCGGTCTGAATCATCGTAGGCCTTGGGTTAAGGCAGGTTCGTGTGGGTTCACGGCCTTAATTAATAACATTGTGTAACTCTAGGATCGTCTTTACCAAATGGCCCTAAGCAACTAAAAGTATTTTAAATGCTGTTTACTGCAAACCCTAACCCCTTTTATTATAACTCCCTTGTACTCCTTTGCATTTATTCTGCATCCGTGGGTGTGTCTTGCTGAGTACTGTGGTTGTACTCAATCTTGCTCAATTTTTCCCCAACCCAGAAGAGGAGTTCCTGGAAGATGAAGGCTTTGGTGTCTAGCTTGTGCCTGCCGTCAAGTGCCTGTGGTCGTCGCCCTAGTCTTCCACTGTTTTCCGTTTATCTTCGTGTGTGCTGGGCCTTCGTCGCCCATGTAATAAATTAACTATTTACGCTTCCGCTTGTTAAACTCTGAATTGTATCAACTTTTGGTGTACCTTGCCTCCTGGGACAAGGAATAATATACGCACGAATGGAATGCCTGTTGGTTTAATTCCGGTCGTGACATCAGATAATATCCTCCTAGCTTATGAACTAACACATTTATTGAAAACAAAAAGGAGTGGATTAGTTGGGTATGCTGCACTGAAGCTAGATATGAGCAAAGCCTTTGATAGGGTGGAATGGGTCTTTCTGGAGAAGTTGTTGATAGGAGATGGGTTACAATTGTGATGAGGTGTGTGACTACGGTGGCTTATCGCATTAAGGTGAATGGTGAGCTTTCTGATCAGGTTACTCCTACCAGGGGTTTGAGCCAGGGGATTCCATTTCACCATATTTGTTCCTGATTTGCGCAGAGGGTTTCTCGTCCCTGTTGAATGCTGCAGAAGATCAGGGTAATCTATCAGGGGTGGCACCAAGCATCAATCATCTTTTGTTCGGATGACTTGTTGTTACTCCTAAAGGCTGATGAGCGGAGTGCGGGATGTCTGCAGAATGTACTATCCTTACATGAAATATGCTCGGGGCAAACCATTAACAAGGAGAAATCGTCGATCATGTTCAACAGCAATTCCAGAGAAAGTAGGAGAGCGTCTTTCAAGGCGACTCTTGATATTGGAGTAGAGGCCTGGAATGAGAAATACTTTGGGCTGGTAGTGTATATGGGCAGATCAAAAGCAAAAACATTCAATTATCTAAAGGAGAGAGTTTGGAAGATACAAGGCTGGAAAGAAAAGCTATTGTCGCGAGCATGGAAGGATATCCTGATTAAAGCCGTGTCGCAAGCAATTCCGACCTTTGCGATGTCGTGTTTTGATCTGACGAAGACCCTATGTGATAAGATCAGTATGTTGATATGTCACGTCTTTTGGGCACAACAAGACAGGGAAAACAAAATGCACTGGATCTCTTGGGAACATTTATGCAGTCAGAAAGATAAGGGAGGGTTGGGGTATAGAGACCTGCATCTTTTTAATCTAGGAATGCTAGCTCGTCAGGCCTGGCAGTTGCTGTCCAATCCAGAGTCACTCTGTGCATGGGTATTAAGAGCAAAATATTTCCATGAGGGAAAGCTCTTGGAAGTAGGCCCAGGCATCTCCTACTCATGGAGGAGCATTGTCCGCGGTGTACAAGCTCTGAAATCTGGTCTAATCTGGAGGGTTGGTTATGGCACAAAGATTGATATATGAATGATCCATGGATTCCAACAAATATAACCCGTTCTCGTATCAGTCCAAGGAGGGATCATAATTAACAGTGTGGCTGACTTAATTGATCTGACAACTCGTGAATGGGATAGAAGTTTAATCTAGGATATTTTCTCGGAAGAGAATGCGAAAAATATATTAGCTATACCAGTGCGAAGTGGTTTTGAAGATACGGCTGCATGGCATTGGGAACCAAGAGGCCTTCTCACGGTTAAATCTGCATATCATACCCGGAAGATCAATGTGAGCGTTTGTCGTCTCGTCAAGTGGGAGAAACCTCGTCGGGAGAAGAAAGTGCGGTCATGTTAGACTGGGGTAAGTTATGGAGGTTGCATTATCTTCCAAAAGGTGAAGCACTTTATCCGGCGTCTTGCCCATAACAACCTGCCCCTGCGCAGGAACATCAGCAGAAGGGGTTTGGATGTGGATACTTTATGTATTGTTTGTCACTGGTTAGATGAGGATGGAGGCCATTGTTTTTTCAAGTGCAAATTTGCAAAAGCCCGTTGGTGGATACTGAACATGGATCACATTAGGCGGGAGCTAGGCCAACTTAGCTCGGCTATGGAGGTGTGTAAACACATTCTAAACATGGGGGATCACAATATGTTGTCCATTGTGGTTCTACTTTGGAACTGGTGGGATGCAAGGAACAAAGTGGATGCAAGGATCAAAGTGAATGCTTGGAGAAGAATGAAGGATAGCCGAGGAAGTAACTCATAGAGTAATGAAGATGGTGGCTGAAACATCACTGCTTAGCTATGGGAAAACCCAGCCAAGTCCTCGAGTACTAAAAACCTGGCGACCTCCACCTCAAGGCGAGCTGAAACTGAATATTGATGGTGCTTTCTGTGAAGCTAGCAAATCTAGTGGCTGGGGTTTTGTTATTTGGAATCATGAAGGAAATGTTGTGCTAGCAGGGGCGGAAAAAATTGAGATTGTGCATGATGCTCTGAGTGCTGAAGCTGATGCTTGTTTATATGCTCTGCAGGCAAGTCATGGAATCTCACATAGGGGCGAAAACAGTATGAAAATTCCCGACCGTACCAATACCGTTTTCGTAAAACTAATAAAATAATAATATTTTTAACGATGGTTACCGTTTTCAAAATTTAGTTTTTCCAATTTCTGTCAGCGTGGCATTGAAGTTGACACTAAATAGTTAAAATCATAAATATGGTAATTTCCTGATCGTTTCCGTCCGATTTAAAAACTAATAAAATAATGATACCGTTTCTGACTATTTCCGATCATTTTCATCACTAATCTCACACATTGCCATTGAAACAAAGTGTTCTGTTCTGGTGGATGCTTTAAAGTCAACTGTCTATGATCATGCTCCGGTGGACGTCATCTTCAGGCAAATCAAAACGATGATCTATGTGGATTGTCAGGGTCGATGTGTCTTTTGTGTGTAGTTCTTGTAATTGTTGTGCTCATGAACTAGCTTGTTAAGGAGTGAGTTTGTAAGGTCTCTTGTGATTCGTGACTACACTGAACCTGTGTGTTAATAAATAGCACGTTAAGATAAAAATAAAAACAATAAATAAACAACTAGGCAATGGACTAAGATCAAGTTTAATAATATAGGCAATTACTAACTCCAAAGATTAACGTATCATCTATAGCTAACTTAATATACTACTAATATAATAGTTAACTATAGATACATAGTACGACATTAATGCTTTCCCCACATTTCTCTCTCAGACTCTCACATAAGTTATTGGAGTTTATACTGTAACTGAGTACAAATTTATAACCCGCTTTTCCTCTCTCTTATTCTCTCTCCTTCACATAAATCTAAATATGATGTAAAAATATGTATAACCCGTTTATATCATGTTATTGTAGTTGCTCTAGTTGAAACATAGCATCAAGGTGATGTGGGCATGTAGGCATAGGCCATAGATCCTAGTGCCAACACGACAGGCATGGTTAGACCGTCCGATCTAAACCCAACGGCGCACATCAACAAAGGGGAGAGAAAAGGCAAAACGACCCACTGCCTCCCACATTAGTGGCCGCATCCCCTCGCCGTCGCCGACTGCTGCTCTCAACTCAATCGCCCGCGCCTACCGTCGCCCTGCGCCGATCACCTGGCCATCTCGCCGCCGGCCTCCTCCAGTCCTCCTAGTCCTCGCCGGACCCAATGGTAATACCACCAGACATTCCTCCTCCCGTTCTTGATCTTTGCTTCTCCTTCTCCTGCCCTGCCGGTGGAATCTGATACCTTCCCCCCATCTTTTTTTTTTTTGCCGGGTCCTCCGCCCCATCTTGTTCCTCCTGCTTTTTTCGCCTGATGGTGGTGGTGGTGGATGCAGTCTGCGCTCTTCAACTTCCACTCCTTCGTCACCGTCGTGCTGCTGCTGATCTGCACCTGCACCTTCCTCAAGATGCACTTCCCCTCCATCCTCGTCCGACGGACAGGGTGCGTTTCGTGGTTCTTCGCTTTCTTCTCCGTCCTGCCTCGCTTTTGCTTCCGCTCGATCCCCTTCTTTGTGACAAACCTGCGTTGGAACTTTATTATCCATGCCCTTTCTTATTCGTGGGATAAATAACATAGGGACCTGAAGAATGTGTTAGGCTGAATTTGGGGATGGAATAGATCGAAACAATGGGGAAGATGGAAGAAATTTTAATGTTGGATAGCCGATGTGATTCTTTTGTGAATGTTAATTTTATTACGTGCCATGAAGTCTCTTCTAGGGAGGAATTGTTTGCCGTGGGTTGGATTGGAATGAGGTCTGCAAATGCTGCTAACCTTATATGGCATGCTAAAACCTCTGCTGGCGAACAACATTGATTTTGATTAGATGTCATGAAAGATTTTTCTGTGTCTTCAGATCCTATGTAACTGTGTTTTTGCACAGGAAAAAAACTAGGCTTTTAAGGAGATAAGGACGGTAGTATTTAGATAGAACAGATAATATGGAACTGAAAAATGTTCAATCGAATCTAAGATATAACTCTGTAATACATAACTGTAACTTGGCCACTACATGCCCCCCCACCCCCCCCCCCCAAAAAAAAAAGTTCTTTCTTTTCCCCTGAAATCGGTGTCAAAATCATTGCACAGGTACTTTCTTTTGAGTTATTAGTGGATTTGTAGTTGGGTATTTTGCCCTGCATGTGAATACAAAGTCTGGTCATGGTCAGCTTACCAAAATTACATTTTTCTATACCAAACAAAAACCTTTATTTGTTAATCGTAGGGGTGCCTATGATGGATGTAATACATCCCCATCTATGGTAATTTAGAAAGGAACATATTGGTAATCGCTCATTTCATTTATCTAGTAATCTCTTGTGGGGGTTGCGATCCGGATAGCAGTGCATTGGCTAGTTGAAACTGGGAATTAGAGGGTATGTAATAAACTAATGGAGCCCGCTAATGGGATGTCTGATTTAAAGAAATTTTATGTTTTTTTTCCATACTAAAGTTGCCATTGTGCAAGCAAGCAGTTAAGCCAATTAGTTTAATACACCTGGCACTTGAAATAATAAATGTGGCATCGGTACATCAAGCCTTGTAGAATGGATTTAACTTTTGGTGGATAGCATGATTCTATCTTGCCAAGTGATGCACATCATTGGCAACCTTCTAGTGATATATTAAAAGCTGAAATGCTTTTGTTTTTTAGTGCACAAGCTCATTGGCATTTCTCGTGTTTCAAAAGTATATGTTGTTCAATGTAATTAAATTATTGTTTTTTTCCATAGCACAATCTTTGTACATTAACCTGTCTAATTCAAAAGATCTATGGCTCTGATTATGTTACCTTTCTCATGTTCTCAGATTTCGTGGTTTCTTTTGGAAGGCTGCTAGGATAGGTAAACTTCATACTTATTTTGTCAATCTTTTTGTTCTAGTTAAAATATAACTAGCTGGGTGGCCCGCGCAATTGCGCGGCTAGCACCAAAAAAATCATATATTTTTTAGTATGATTTTACTTAAAATTTATTACATAGCTATCTCATTGTCTTAAGACTTTGAAAGACCAAATCTTACCATCATCGTTTTCTAATTATATAGTTTTTAAAAGTCACACCAATTGCTACCCCTTATGTCATCTCCTTCTTTATTTGCTTGCTCGATCTATCACTATTTCTATTCATTCTTCTTGGAACCTTTAAAATTGGATTTTATAGTTTTTAGAGTTTATTGTCACGTTGGGTTTCGTTTTTATAATTTCTAGATGTCCCGTCAAACGTTGCCATTATACTCCTCTACGGCCCGTCCACTATATCTTCTCTTTATTGTCATTGAGATTTTAAAAATCGAACATAATTATTGTTTGTGTTCATTTTTACTTTCTAGAAGTCCCGCCAAACCGTCAGCGGTTTTGCCATTGTACTCCTCTACGGCTCACCCGCTGTCTCCCTTCTTTATTGTCATTGAGATTTTAAAATCGTACATGATTATCATTTTTTTAGCTTTTTTTTTACTTTTTGGAAGTTCCGAACCTTTAAAAATTGGACTTGTAGTTTCATTTTTTATAATTTTTAGAAGTCCCATCAAATGATGCCACTATGCCCCCTCTACAGCCGTCCGCCGCCTACTCTTTATTGTCATTGTGATTCTAAAAATCGAACATAACTATCGTTGTAATTCTTTTTTTATTTTCTTGAAGTCCCGTCAACCGTCGGCGGCTCTGCAACTATACTCTTATACACACCGCCCGCTACTTCTCCTTTTTATTGTCATTGAGATTTTAAAAATCGAATATGATTATCAATTTTTTTTTTACTTTCTAGAAGTCCCGGCAACGCCTTACTTATTTGCTTCACGGCCTGCCTGACGTCCCTTCTTTTAATCGTCATTAGGATTCTATTTGGTGTTTTAGTAACAATTTTTATATGTCGTATCAACCGCCACCAACTCTACTCCTTTATAGGCTTGTTACTTAACTTATCTCGTCGTTTGTTTTAGATGGTATTTTCTTTCAATAGTCTTTATTTTTATCACAAATTTTAGTTATTTATAAATTTTATTCCTAATTGAAATCTTATTTTTATTTCTAATTTCAGAATTTATTTTTTAAAAAAAAATTAGTTAATACCGTATTGTGTTCTTTTAATGTTTTTATTTTTTATTTTCAATTTCAGTTGTTTCAAAATTGTATTCCTGCTTGTGCTCTCTTTTAATTTTTCTAATTTTGGATATTATTTTATTTTTTATTTGAATTTTTAATTAATCTCGTATTTGGTTCTTATATGTATTCTTCTTTCAGTATTGCTTATTTTTAATTTCGAATTTCAGCTAATTTTAAATTGTATTCCTACTTGAACTCTTCTTTATTTTCTTTGTCTAATTTCGGATTTATTTTTATTTTTATTCCGAATTTTTATTAATCTCGTATTGGATTCTTGTATGGACTCTTCTTTCAATATTTCTTATTTTTAATTTCGAATTTCAGTTATTTTTAAATTATATTCCTACTTGGACTCTCCTTTTTTCTTTTTCTAACTTTGATATTTATTTTATTATTATTTAGAATTTTGATTAATCACGTATTGGGTTCCTATATGGAAACTTATTTCCATATTGCATATTTTTAATTCCGAATTTCAGCTATTTTTAAATTGTATTTCTACTTGGACTCTTCTTTTCTTTTTCTTCGATTAACGTGGGAATTTCTAGCCTCCACAGCGAACGTGGTGTCTTTTTTTCGAGCTGTCTTAATAATATAATAGATTTATCCAGTGCTGCATCAGCGCATGCATTCTGAAACTGTTGTATTCAGTTGTCTTGCATCATGTTTTATTTTTCTTAAAGATGTGCAGTTACAATATCAGAAAATACTATCAATAGATATAATGATCAAAAGTACAACGAAAGATGAAGGTAGAGATGCAAAGTTAAATTTTATGGCTTGATAAACATGCAGAATGTTTGTCCTTGTGAAATGTGAACAGATAGGGGTATAAATTATTCTTTCATGAATCCTGCCTCATGGCACTAGCAATATATTTACAAACATGAAACATCTAAACATTAATCTGGAACTTCACATTATATTATGTTGGTAAAGAAACAAAGATAAGCTCACATGACAAAATCACAATACGTACATTGGTACCATAAGAAGTGAGAGCTACCATTAGTCCATTATTAAGTTAGCTAGAGTCTTCATTGTTCTATGTCTCAATTAAAATGGTAACATTATTTTACAGAAATCTTCCTTTGATAGACTCAGGATTTCAGGTTAATCAGCCAAAGATAAATATAGTGATAATTTCCAATAATGTTTTGTCAGTTGGTACTTGAGTTTGAATTAGAATGACGACAGGGGCTAGAAGCTGCAGATAAGCATAAATGGAGTATGCATGATATACTTTTAATCTCCAGTCAAGGGATACAGCCATGTTCGTTAGCTGGGACGGAGTTGCTATGCCCAAGCATGGGAAATTTCTTTGTAGACTTAACTTTACTTCCTTGAATTTGACTTGCAGTATCAATATTAGATGTTTTTGTATTGCAATTTCCTAACTTCGTCTCATAAAGGCAGAGTTGCATGTTTACTTATGTTTTTCTATGTTTTGTTTTAACATTTTTTCACCCTTCATTGCATATAGATCGTATAAATAATATTAGTATGTTGATTTTCTCTGTTTTTTTTTTGCCTTTCAGGTGAGCGCCTTAGCCCCTGGGTAGCTATTGGGTGTTCTGTCATGGGCATATCTATTATATTTTATTGAGATCAGAATATATTTTTGTGCTGTCCTGATCTGGGAACAATTTCACCTGTAGATAGGGAAATCCGATGCCTTTTGTGGCTCTGTTTATATCCGTGTTTCTTTCTCCTGTAAGCATGTTATGACTTACGAAATTCACCTAAACTGTTTTCCACTTTCCACTTCAGAGAAGAAGTGTGGGAGCTGGGAATTTTTGAGAGAATTATAGTATGATGATTTGTATTTGTATTTCAGATGTCAGGTTTTGTAACCCTGTAATTGTAGCAGATGTGTGTTTTCATGTTGTGTTTTAACCCTAATGGAATCCTAGTTCTGTTTATAGCATTATGAGTTAATGACCTTGCTGGCATATCTGGTATTTGATGTTGGTCTCTCGTCATGTGGATTTACGGTTCAATTAGAGAAAAATCATGAAGGAATTCAGGCTTAGGTGACACCTGAAAATCCCCCTACTTTGTCTAGGTCGCCCGTACGCTACCTAATGATGCAATGATTAAAACAGAACTGCCAAACATAAGCGTGTACGATTATCTTTCTGAATTCAATACTACTACTATGCAATTGCAAGTGGTATCTCTTACCAAAAGACTTGATTGTCACTCATGGTTTTACCTCAGTACATTGAGCCTGTATAGATGGGACTAAAACCACCTTTTAAGTCCCTATTACATCGGATGTTTGGGCACTAATTATAAATATTAAACGTAGACTATTAATAAAACCCATCCATAATCTTGGACTAATTCACGAGACGAATCTTTTGAGCCTAATTAATCCATGATTAGCCTATGTGATGCTACAGTAAACATTCTCTAATTATGGATTGATTAGGCTTAAAAAATTTGTCTCGCGAATTAGCTTTCATTTATGTAATTAGTTTTGTAAGTAGTCTATATTTAATACTCTAAATTAGTGTCTAAATACAAGGACTAAAGTTAAGTCCCTGGATCCAAACACCACCTTAGTATACACCTGAAGGAGTAACACTTAGTAGACCCTATTTGGAACATTCGAATAATAAAACACATGATGATTTTATAAAAATAAATATGTAGAGAACACGGAAAGGCTACAAGAAAAATACAGGAATTGTAGAGATAGACGGAAAAGGAAAGTTTACAATAGAATAGACCTTATGCTAAATATCTTCTAAAATCTCCATCCACTATACTATTCCAAAGGAATTTTATAGGATTTTAGAAACTCCAATCATTTGTTACACAGGATTAGAAAAAATAAACGTGAAAGATTTGAATCGTTAAAATTCCTCCATTAGTCCATTCTTAAAAAGGGGCCTTAATTAAGAAAGTCCTTGACTATATCATATGGACAAAACGGGTTTGATGACATATTTGTGTATGAAGAATAATCTAACAGAAGAATATTCCTACAAAGTTCATGTATGTATCTATACCCACTACATCCTAAAGCTTAATATACGAACATGCCACATAATCATCCATTAGCAATATTACATCTTAAAGCTAATGGAAGTATCCATATCATCTATGATTTATTACTTTATAGAGCTTAACATTCAAGCACATCAAATCATCATCCCCACATCATTGTCCCTATGTTTTAACATATTCATATAGTACTTTTACAATATCTAGGATAGATTCATCCATGCATTCTGCAACATCGTGCGGGAATCATCTAGTAGTTTATAAGAAAATGATGTCCAACAAATTGCTAAGCTTATAATGGTTTTAAACTTGCCATAAAGCACCATAAAGACTCTAAAAACATTTATATTGTATACTTATACTTTTAAACTTGTCTCATGTACTATCACATGTCCAAAAGCATCGACATCCTACCAAGAGTTGATGTGGCATGCCTACGCGGAGATGATGTGATGTGTGAGAACACACCATCGTGCATTCACTTCTGCTACATCAGCTCCAAAATGGCACACCACAACAGCCCTCGGAGAGGGTATGGGTAAAATTGTTTGTGTGTGTGTGTGTGTGTGTGTGAGTTTGTGTGTGTGTGTGTGAGAGAGAGAGAGAGAGAGAGAGTGGGTTTGTGTGTGTATGTGTGTGAGAGAGTGATTTGTGTGTGTGCATTTTTTTTCATAATTTAAAAGTGTAGGATATGGATGACATAATAGAATTTGACCCTTCATGATGAATATATCATTGATAGATTCCCTAGGATGATCTGAATTTTGAAAAAAAAAAAGCATATGCATGTCGTCCCTGTCAAGTCCCCATGAACGTTTCTATTTTGTCGCTCCATCAGTTACTGGCAAAAACATGAATTACTCAACAAAACTATTGAATTACTACGCAAATGATATGGTCAACCCTACTCTCTTTGCACTCAACAATAAAAGTTTGAAAAGGATTCTCTAAATTATTTGTCACATGCTTGGGCAGCCTTTATCTCTTTCTTTGACTAGATATATCTAATTTAGCTAAGGGAAGTGTTAGAGAAACATTGTTTTTACCTTCTAGATTGAAGACACTGAAGTTCCTTGCGCATGCTTGCGTGGTCTTCCTCTCTTCCTCTCAGCTCATTTGCTCATGGATCATGTGGATCTAATGTTTCGTGTTGGTTTCAAACCATTATGCACACATGGGATGGTGGAGAAGAAGATGGGGAGGAGTGGTGTCCTTGGTGGAGGAGGTGGGATGCATGGACAACGGGAAGTGACATGAGGAGGTGTATATAGTGGAGGAAGGGATGTGATGGGGGAAGGGAGAGATAGGCGGTAGGGTATGTCTCTCAAGTAGTGGGGTTGTGTGCGGGTTGGAAGGAGAGAGGCAGCAGGGGTAGGGCGTGTGGAAGGAGATGTAGAGCGTGGAGAGGGGTAACAAGAAGGAGCCTTATGAATGGAAGGAGAGAGGCGGCGGAGCCGGAGAGGGGTGGAGAGGAGGCACGCACCGTGGAACGATGGAGACAATGATGAAAGGGATGGGGAGGAGGAACATAGGTGTATGTGGAGAAGGATGGTTGGGGATCGATTAGGGAAGAGTCACGGGGTTTTGATGCGGAGATAGGTGGCTGGGGATGGCACAGTTATTAGTTTCTAGCGGAGACCAGCCACTAGCTAATCAGCATCACTAAGGTTTAATTCAACCGCTTGTTTCGATTCATGCTAGTAAAACTAGTATATATATCTTAATAATTTCATTAAGAATTACTTCATTTGTATTTTAATATATGACATTGCTAACCTTATTCGGTTAAACTTTTGAAACTTCGAGCATCAATAACCCTAAAAAATGTAAAGATCACATGGTATAGTTTTCTTCATAAGTACTTTTCAATATTATAAGAATGTTTTTAGATATGTTGCTATTCTTATATAAAAACAATGGTCAAAATTGCACATCAAAAATCGAAAAAAGTCAACAGTGTCATATATTTAGCTATAGAGGTAGCATAAACTTTATGGTTCAGTGTTGTACAGTTTGCACTTGAAGCAAAATTAATTAGTATCTATGGCTAGAAAACCAAAGCCTTGAAAAAGGACCAATATTTTTCTTTACTTACATGGAACATATGAAACATTTCTTTCTTTCTTGGGGTGTTCCACAAACATGTCTATGAAGAATGAGAATGAAGCTTCTTCTAATTGTGATACATACAGGCGACAGTGCACAACATTTTTTTGCTGCAATATGAGTTTGTTCCTCTCTACTTGCATGCATGGTGATAGGCAGTGAACTTTCAAAAAATGTAAGTAGCCAGCCATATCAATCATCTCCTAAAATAACACCAACTTTAATTTTATTTCTTTTAGTATTCTTTCCTATGTAAAGTTTGGCATGAGCACATTTTTATTTTCAGCTAGCATTAGCTCAAAGTATACTTTAGATCCTCAAAGATGTGGAATGCTTTGTAGCAATTCATTTATTGATATATAGTAATTCTTTGTATACTTTGGGTCTTGCCGATTCGGAATACTTTGTAGCAATTAAATGATTGATATAAATTATCTGTACCAATGCAGCTATTGGCATTTTCCTATTGTTAGTGATGTATTGACCATGTATCTTTGCTAAGTATATCATATTGATCATGTACACTATGATTTCATTCTGGTAAACTTTAGACGAGTTGCATTTATTCAATGATTTACTCAACTATATATGCAGGAGGCAACTTTTGTTATAAAAAGATTGTGTTGGATGATGTGGGCTTGGTCACATTTGTGCCACCGCTGATCTGTTCTTCGCTGTGATGATTACTTTAGCAGGCATGGTCACCTCAATGGATGACATGCCCTCTCCAAGGTTGCTGAAGCACATTATCCACTATTACCTAGGGATCACAGACAATCCTAGGTTTGTTTCCTCACTTCATTGTTGTAGAATTATCTCTCTCTTTTTTTCAAACTTCTTCTAAAGCATTCCCCTCTTCAATGTTTGAGGGGCTTGCAGGCACTGCAGCCTTACCTTCCTATGACATTGAAAGATGGCACATTCATCAACCTTGTTAAGGTGAGTTGTACATTGTAGTTATCGGCTCTCAAAAAAAATATCATTCCACTGAAACAATATTAGAATAGGCTGATAGTTGCAATCAACTGTTCAATATAGTTTCCTTTACTGAAAATGCATAATGATCCTGCAATGCAGCAATGGCTCCAAGAACTATTGGTTAAATTGAGAAGTGAGAAAATGGGAGGTCTACCTCCTTCAGTTCTTGGTGGCATGCTAAGGGTATAAACCAACCTGGTTGCTGTAAATCACTAAAATGATGAATTGTCCTAGTGCAAATTGCAGCTAGGGAATAAGGAAAAAAGGGTTATTTTCAGTGTGCATGCAAAAGAATTTTTTCCACTTTCATCGGATTGAACAGCCCAAAAACAGAATAAATTGGACAAGTACTCTTGTGTCAATAATTATTTTATGATGTGTTTGGTATTAATTTAAATCCTTCTGTAGAATTTAATATGGTTGCATGATAATATTGAACTGTTGTAGGAAAACAATTTGAGTTTTGTTGATCATATTTTGCATGATCTAGAAAATTGAGGTTGTTATGTTTTTGTTCTTGTGTGGAAGATTTTTTGTTTTTTTACTATGGAAAGCATAAGAATATATTATTCTTGTTGATTAATTTGACCGAGTTTTCCAAAGGTCAAGAATTGAGCATTGATGAAAAATTATTCCTGATCCAATACTCCATAGGTATTCTAATGCGAGCTCCAATACTCCAGATATGTCCTCCTTCAAATACAATTCAAGTATGATCTGCAACAAATTATCTTTCAAAGCCTGGGTAGAATGAGTCCAAACATTGCACTCAAAATGCTTTCCCTTTCCTTCGTTGCAAGAATTCATTGAATGGCTCGGATCTGGCATGCTAGAAAGAATCTATTTGATTTTTTTC